AAGCCCTTCAGCTTCCTGAAGTCAATTCCAGTTCTACATTCTAGTTATTACCAGAGGAAGTGAGTCCGATGTAGGGTCACAGGTAAGCAAGAGACTGCATGCAGCAACTGCCATTACAGGAACTGGACCTTGAGTCTCTGTGGGAAAAGCTTAGGAGATGAAGCCCAAGGAGGAGCAAGCCATTGCAGGATTGGAGCAGCTCTGGGTGGCAATCTCCAGGGACAACTGGACACCAGGTATGTCCTACTGCATGGAGCTTCTGCTGGGTCCATGAGTTCACAGTAAGGTACCAAGATGGGTGCCAGTGTGTGTGGGGAGGGACAATGGGGATTACACAGGCACATGGGGAGTTCCTTGGCATCTGTATGTTTGCCACTGCCCCTGACCAACAACGCTTTGACTTTCTGTCCCATGTGCCTCATAGCCTCACCTTTGGCCCTGCTTGCCCTAGAATTCAAAGCAGGGGTTGTACGGAATGCATTTTCCAGCATATGGAACGTTCTTCAACTACCACAGAACAAGTTTAAAAAATCAACCAGGAACACTCAGGGTCAGTGTCTACTTAGCAAGGGGACATGGAGGTCCCTGGAAAGAGAGGCAAAGCCAGAAAGGGTATCACTAGAGCATAGGTACCCAGTCTTCCTTCCAGGAAGTTCCTAGAAGCCTCATTTCTTACCTTATTGGTGGATCCAGCTCTTTTGTCATAATTAATTTTTTTAAAAAACTTAGTAACTAAATTATTTTCCAAGCCAACCATCCTAGAAATCTCTGAGACCTAAGGTTACACCTCTTTCCAAAACATCTTCTGGAATGTCTCTATTCCTAACATTTAGACCTTGTGCTCACCTGCCATAGGCAGCTTAGCCTGATTTCTTGCCACTTACACTTGAACTGTTGTCCATCAGCATCAGGGTCACCCCTGCCAAGCCTGTGGAATGTCAACAGGGCTGCAATCTGGACCTCCTCCTCCATCTACCCGCTGCAGACTGTGGCAAAGCCCTGGCAACCACTCCCAGTGGGTGGCACCACCGAAGCTTCCCTCTTGGTGAGACGGCTATAGCTGGCTCTTGTCTTCCTCTGTCTTTGGTCTTGATTCCACCTTCTCCACAAGCTGGGCTCTGTTGGAATTATATCTGGATTCCCTTTTCATCCTCCCCAGAGTCAGTGGCCCTTCTTAAGGAAGCCCTACTTGGATATGGTACCATTTGTTAATATTTTATTTATCATCCTTTTTCTTCTTCCTTTCATGTGTTACATGTGTGTTCCTTTCTTTCTTTCTTTCTTTCCTTCCTTCCTTCCTTCCTTCCTTCCTTCCTTCCTTCCTTCCTTCCTTTCTTTCAAAACAAGGTCTTGCTCTGCTGCACTGGCTGGCCTTAAACTCAAAGAAAACCTTCTGCCTAAACCTCCTGAATACTGGGATTACAGGCAAGAGGCACCAGTTCTGCTCATGAATGTCCTTGATGAGGCACTAAGGATGACTGCCTGCCTTAAGTCCTAAACCTTGAGGCTGCTTCTCTTTCACGTTCCTTGTGAATGGTAAGTGTGCATGGACAGGGCTTTTCTCATGCCTGCATGTTGGGGTGACCAAGGAAAGGCGTGTGTGCACTATATGGGCTGTAATAACACACAGCTTATGAAAATTCCTTGAAAGAATACTGGCAGGCCAGGGCACTGAGAGATGAAGTAGGCCTGTTCCTTAAGAGAAACAGTGGCAGCTTTTGTTACTGGTGGTAAAAACTCACCCTTTCCTTTATTTGGAATACTTGCTTGCATCACCATGAACGTGGGAACCTCCTGCTGAGGTTGTCAGTGCACAAAGGTGACGATCTGGCACCTGATGAATGGCATGTTGTCACACTGAAAACACTAATATCACTCTGGGTATAATATTTTCCAAAAATGCTTCTAAATGCCTACTTGGGACCCAAACACACAGAATGATAAAGAGCCACTGAGGCCTAAGATGAGTCACAAGGAAAGGCTGGGGGTTTGGGGGAGGTGGTTTAACGGAGGAGCATTTGCCTAGCATACAGGAGACCCTGAGTTCAGTTCCCACCCCAGAAAAACAAAAACCTCATCTCCCTACTCCTTAAGTTTGAGGTAGGACAGAGTTAGAACGGCCACATTGATTTGTTCTTTAAATGTCTTTTCTTTCCAGGTAACTCTTCCTGCGAGGCTGGACTTCTAGACAGAATCCTCTACTTAACAACCAAAATCCTGCCCAGCAGCAGAGCACACAGGCGTCCAGGGAACCCCCGATGCTTCCCCTGAGCCAGAGATTTGTACAAATATAAAACGTGCCACTTTTCTTGCTGAAACATTGTTTTAGAAAGTACATTTTTCATACAATTGATCCTGATAGTAACACGTAACGGGGTTATTGTTCTGAAATAAATAATATTTTCATATGTCTAAAATTTAGTTTTTTAGTAAGGTATTACATAGGTACTGATGCTGCTAGCTGGAGCTCTTCAAAGTTCTCTGGCATCCTTGATCACTATTCTGGGTCCCTGAGGTCCCTGAGATGACAACCTAAGCTCTACCTGGCTCCAGTGACATGCTGAGCTGCCCTGTGGAGGTGCGATGTGAGCTGTGCTGCTGCTGCCCGGGAAGAAACACCTCCTTGATGGATCCCTGAAGAGGCCAGCATAATCTCCTTAGCCAGTGTGAGAGTTCCTGTCCTTGAGGCTCTTCCCAGTCTCTGAGTCCATCGAACTCCCGCCAGGCCTGCATGTGATGAGGTCTATCAGCTACTTCTCTGCTGCTGCGGTGACCCACCATGACCCAGGCAAAGAAGCCTTCCTTAGGAAGGCTTATGGTTCCAGAGGGAGAAGAATCCGCCACAATCATAGCAACAGGCAGGCATGGTGGCAGGGACAGCTGAGAGCTCATACCTGGAACCACAAGTGGGAAGGAGACAGAGCTCACTAGGAATCAAACAAGTCTTTAAATTCTCAAAACCTGCCTTCGGTGACATACCTCCTCCAACAAGTCCTACCCAAACAGCACCACCACCTGGAGATGGAGTATTCAAATGTGTGAGACTGTGGGTGATATTTCTCATTAGCGCCACCACACAAGGTAACCTGCGGGTTCCCGGTGTGAATGTCCCAACTCCAAAGGCAACCGAGCATGTCTTTCTACCTTTGGTTCCACTCTTTGTTTTATATGAATTTAGACATAATTTTATCATTTAACGAGATTCTGTAGTTCTGTCGTGGACATAGTGAGGTCACATGAACGAAAGGAGAAAGGTTTCTCTGGAGTCTTTGTGGTGCACTCAGATCCCCACACCTGTGTACTGTCCTGCATCTTCCAACGACACTGGATATCTTTGAAAGGGCCTCTGTCTTTCTGGTTAAATCTACTCCCGGGAAGTCCACTACTTCTGGTTTCAGTTGAGTGGACTCATTTCTCATTCTCAATGTTAATACTTTCAGGTTGAAGCTCTTGAGGTTTTGTGTATTTTGTTTCCTGGATCATCAAAAGTATTATATGAAAATAGAGGTAAACTGTCATGTCTTCATTCTGTCCCTCAGCTCTTTTTGTTTGCTGACCATTTTCTTGTTCTAGATGTCAGAGGAGCAGGTATTGATGGTGAAACACTTGATGGGTTTAGTTTTCTGTGTTTATGTTTTGCTGAACCTGATCAGATATTTTCACTTTTACTAATGAGTTATTTTACTCCTCAAATAACCCAATAGCTTAAGAAGAAACCAGAAAGTCCTAGTGGACATACTATGGAAGGCTTGTCAACCGCAGGTGGTCAACAGGTGAATCCCATCGACCCCTGAGGCAGAGAAACAAACAGCCCCAGACTGCTCAGACATACGTAGTCCCTACCATAGGAAGTACTCGGCTTCCAAACACAGAGTGCAAAGCTCTCATGACACATGAGCACTAAAACAGCAGTGTGCCACTGCCTTGATTCTAGAGCACAGGGGTCTAAACATGAAGACACGGGCTGTATCCTGAACCTTATTCTGTCCCCTCCTGTGGAGCTTCGAGACACAGGTGGCCAGTGCTCACCCCCAGCAGCCTCTCAGACACCAGTACTGTTCCTTCTGGAAGGATGGAAATCATCTCTCTTTTTTGAGGCTCAGGAACCTCATGGAAGCCCAGCCTCAGTGGTACACAGATGAGGACAGGCAGGTGCATGTCAGCAGATCTCTGAGTGAGTGTTAATGGAGAGGGGGTGGCTCCCCAGCATCCAAGGCTGCAGATGAATTCTGGAAGACAGAAAGAGGCCAAGTTCCTTGCCTTGGGGCTGCAAGTGGCCTGGTTCCAAGGGGTAAATCAGACAGGCCTGCCTCCAGTCCCCTCTGTGGCCTCAGTGGAAGAGCCATGGCCTGGCCAAAAACACTATGGATATTCAACCAAGGGGGTCCTGGCAAGAGTCCTTCATATGGTAAAACAACAGTGGCAACCTGGTCAGTGTATTCTGCCTTCTCAGATGCCAACAGCCTCAGAGAAAACAAAAACTTCTTCCAGAAGTGCATGGCTCTGGGTGACCTGGCTGCTGGCAAAAGGTACCCAGGGTGTTGTTTGCAATGGCTGTTTCCCTTATGGGGTGTTCTTCCTAGCTCTATCTGAATCTGATTCTTTCTGTCATAGGACCAGACTTTCCCTTGAGCACTCACCATCATTGGCTACCGTTTCCCTGATGACTGAACTAAAGTTTATAAAGCCAGGACCTTTGCCTCACTTAGCACACAAGGGCTACCACCGGGACCCAGATCAACAGGCCATTGGAGAGCATAAGCAGGTCGAGGCAGCAGGGATCCTGTGCTAGTGTGAAGCTTCAGACAGATGACTAAGGGGTGACTGGGTTGGGTTAGTACTGTGATAACTAGGTAGTTGGGGTAGCTGCTACAGACTCTGTGGAGGAAAGACCCCCCACAACCTGCCCCTGACCCATGGCATTTGCTTTTGATGGCAGAAGAAAATCATCCAAGCCAGCACTCCCCCTTCCCCTTCATACCAGAGAGAGGAAAGTCAGCTTCCAGGCAATAATTGAAAGTACATTTAATATCAAAAGCTGTTTCAAGTATCATGATAGTGACTATATTGGAGAGTGGATTCTGGAACCTTCTCACTAGTCGTCCTGGGGTCCCTGGCATCAGTGCTGGAGATGGGGGTCCCAAAGTCTTCCAGGGCCACTGGGGTCCTGGAAAGCCCTTCAGAGAAACACAGAAGCCAGGCTGAAGCCTGTCCCCTTTCTGGAATCTGCCTGGGTGGGCAGGGCCCTGAGCTGCGTGGGCCTCCAGATAGGATTACGTGGCACCTGGCATCCTCTCCATGGCCTAGACATTGGACTTGGCGATGATCTTCTCCAGCAGGCTCATCATGCGCTCCTGAAGCTGCAGGCTCTGGACCTGTAGGATGTTCTGCTGGTCCAGCACACGGCGGACCTCTCGGCATGTCTCCTCCATGGCACGGCTCAGCCGGCGCTGCTCCTCCAGCATAGCCTCCAGCAGCCGCAGTTTTTTTTTCTGTAAGTGACAGCTCCGAACCTTGCGTTTCTTCACAGGGCGTTCCTCTGACCTGTAGGGAAGAGATGAGCTGGTCACAGGGCCTGGATTATGGGAGCCACCAGACCTTCCCAAATATCCCACTGGACAAATGGTAGCACGGAGGCCCCAGGAGCCACATCTGTGACTCAGGTCTCAGTTCACAGAGGTGAAGAGGGGCCAGCGCTCACACACAACAGAGAGAACAGCAGGTGGCAGCCAGTGCTGGCTTGTGGAGGGAGCAGGCAGTCCTGAAGCCATCCACAAATCCAGAGTGTGGACTATGTGGGCACATGACCCTCACAGCACCGCAAGGTCAATGAGCTGGTAGAGGGTGCTCAAGGTTGAAGCACCCATTCCAAGGAGCAGCAAGGCTCAATAGGAAGATTCTGGACAGTGTGTGTGTGGTACTTGATACTCTTAAGGGAAGGGAAGTGTGTAGCCCCCACGGGCCTATGACACACAAATAAATAGGTTCAGAATTAAGGCCTGCTCTGGGCCCTCTGTCTCCAAGTATGACTTTGGTGGGGTAGGGGGTCAGGCAGGCCATCTGGGTTCCTTCCCTGGAGATGCCACATGGGTGTTCTCTGCTAGTCTAGAAGCCCTTGCTGGACAGCAGAGAGCTGTCAAAGCCTACCAGACCCCAAGGCCTATCGAGTAACTGCCAGTATCTGGCATGTGCTCTGTGTTCTGAGCAGAGTGGGTGATCGGCCACTTTTGGGGACAGAGCCCCAGGCAGCTGTGCCTGGGAACTGGGGTGGTAAGCCATGGGAACAATTGGCTATAAATCTTAGGCTTCTCTGCTAGCTTGGTGTGGCTTTAGTAAAGACAGATTTTTGTCTGGGCCCTTTAGTGAGAAATTCTACCCTGGGAAGGGCTTTTTGGGTGAATTAAGCAGATGTTCCAGCCCTAGGGACATTAGGTTCTGAGACCTCCATGGAGGTACCTTTCCTACCTTACCTGCTATCAAACAGGCTTGAAATCCCATAACACAAAGCCACATTTCCTAGTCTCTTCAACTGGCTGACTCCTCTTTTACCTTGGAAACCCACCCTAAATATCTCCTCCTTAGAACTGCTTGCTCTGGACCCCAGAGTCTACAAAGCCACAGGTTGTCTCCCACTTGTCTTCCAACCCAGAGGCTCTCTGAGTGCCTTGCAGGCACAGGCATGTGGCCCACACAGGGCTGGAGTGTAATGACAGAGAAGACAGGCCCACTCACTGCTCAGGAGGTGCATGCCCACATCTCTATGTTGAGATGACCTGTTGCTGAGATGGGGACCCCAGAAAGGGTCCAAGTTGGGACTTGACGGGCAGGGAGGGCATGCTCAGGGCCTGGTCCTGTGTCTTTTCTCCTTGAGGAGTACTGATTTATCCCCATTTTATGATGGGAGGCAGAGGTCAGAGAGGTCAAAGAACTTTCCAAGCAGGTAAGAGGTGATGGCGTTTTGGACAAGACCCACCTATCCACTGGCACTAGAGCCTCTTGCTGCCCTGAGGCTGCCCTGACCCTGGACCAGGCACACAGCTGTGGCCTGTGCAGCCAGTCAGGGCAGAGGATACCATGGTGTGCCACTGTGCCACCTTGCTCTGGGCACTGGAGGATAGGGTAGGGGGTGGAGATGCCAAGGCAGTGCTGGGTCAGGAGAGGAAGAGCGAACACACACTACCTGAACTTAAGGGACAGTAAGCTGGAGGAGCTGTCGGAGCGATCGTCCTCGAAGCGGCCTTCATAGGAGCACTGGGCATACGGTAAGTACAGAGGGGTGGACTTAGCAGACGGCGACAGGGACGCCTCGGTCTGGGACGTGGAGGGCCCCGGCTGCTGGCCATCCGGCAGTTTGCCCTCACAGGACTCAGGGACCTTGGCCAGAATCCTATCAATGGCTAGGTAATAGGGCCAGTCCGGCGGGACGGACTCGCTATCTGTCATGCATTTTAATTTCCTGAAACGAGAGACACAAGAGCCAAGGTGAGAAACAGCAGGTGCAGCCTGTCCTGCCTGACCCCTGGGCAGAGTGGCACCCAAGGGGTCTAGGTCCCCAGAGGGAGTCATGCTGATGCAGGCGGGAGCTACTCCCAGCCTGCCAGGCTCTATGGCCCCTGTGACACTGGATAAAAGGCAGAGAGGCTTTGGGAGCTGCACCACCTTTGGGTGTCAGAAAGGAAACCCAAACATGAGCAAGGGCACCCACAGGTGCTAGGAGCTTGGGGCTGGTTCCTGTGGTCTCTCCTCTTCTCTGGGTTTAAATTCACTGCAATGAACTGTGTGCTCTTTTCATAAGTTAACCTGCGGACTGAGACTGTGAGATACCGGCATAGAAGAAATTGCCATGCAGCAGTTGTATTCAACAATGATGCTTCCAGGAGAGGGAACCGCAGGAAAACAATACTCACAGCTCTGGCCCTATATCTTGCACACACACGCACTCTTGGACAGGTTCGTTAACCTCTCTGAGCCTTCATGTTTTACATTAGTAAAATGGGGATGAAAAAGTAAATCCTTCACAAGGCTAAAGAGAAGATTTCATAAAAGAATGTCTGGTAAACAGGAGGCCAGGCTCCAACACTGTCCTCAGCTGAACCTACCAGGAAGGTATGTTAGGCCACATCATTGTAATACTGCTACCATTCCATCCCTGAGCTAAGCCTGACCTAGCTTTCAAATTCACAGCCTGTCCAGAGACCTTGGGGCTGGGTGGTCAGTGCCATCTCACAATGCCTAACACCCCACCTCTACTAGTGCCAAAGCCAAAGGTCTGATCAGTATGACCAATGCTCTCAAGACCCTATGCTCTGTGTTCTCCCACTGATGGGTCCTGTCTCACTGAGAGGACTGTCACATCCCTGTCCTAAGTCATCCCTTGGAAAGGGAAGGCTAGGGAGACTGGACACAGGCTGTTTGGACAATTTTGGTTTTTAGAGAAAGAGGCCACATAGGAGGAACATTCCAACCCCTAGGGCCACCTTGGGCCTATATGGGGTTCTCTGCAAGGGCTGGCCCTAGTCCCACTGGTCCCTGAAGATGGAAAGCTGGCTGAATGGAGCTCCTAATGCAGGCATAGCCAAAGATTAGGGGCTGTTGCCCAGGATAGATTGTGGTTAGCTAAAGCAGAGACTGGCCTTGGGGAGTAGCATCAAGGGCCTGGGAGCCTCCACCACATAGTGTGACTATGTCAGAAAGCAGAGACAGGTCACACAGAACAGAGTACAGACTGCTCTGGATGAATAGCAGGGGCACTGTCAAGCCACCTGGGGGCACAGGGAAGGTGAAGCTCATCACCACTGGTGCCATGTCAGCCTTCTTCTCAGGTTCCTCCTTTCTAGAGAACCCCTGCCCCAGTTTTCTCTGCTGCCCTTCTGCCCGCCTATTCCTTGGAGAAATGGGAAAAGCCTGTCTCCAGTGACGGGGCCTCATATGGTATTCCAACAAATCATGTTGCATGGAACCTAGCTACATGTTCAAATTTCCTTTAAGCCAGAACCTTAATATGTAAACAGTTCCTGTAAAAAAGGAAGAAAAGACTCTGCTGTGAAGGGGTTAGGAATGGATGAATAAAGAACAGGTCTGCTATGAGGAGCCATGGTCTTCATGTGCCTCATAAACTGTGAAGTGCTATGCTTCCTACCCCCAGACTGCAATGGTGGTCTCTCCCATGCACCTTTATCCCCAGGTCTCTTTGGCTCAGAATCACCTCTAGGAATGGAGACAGAACCCTCCCCTAGGATTCTGAGGGAGGATTTCAAGATAAATAATGAACAACACAGCTAGACACTGTGAGCTACCGAGTCAAAGAGAAGCTAAGGAAAACATGCAGTGGTGCCTTGTACCTCCCCCTAGGACCTCTTCTTCAGCAAGCACTGGAATAGGACTATGGGAGTGAGTAAGCCAGGTAAGGCTCTTGCCATGGCTGCTGTCTTCATGTGTTCATGTCTGTTCCTGCAAACAGGAGGCTTGCCTCTCAGCTCTCTCATAAGACAGAGGCTTAAATTTAACATCAGTTATGATAAATACCTTTGACGCCAGTAAACCCAAGCATATGCTGGAGCCATGGGTTTTGGCTCACAGGCTCAGCTGGGGGACAATATTGGGGGTCAGAAATGAGCCATTGATAGGTTAGGCTTGAGACCTCTAACTTCTTTCATGGCCCTTATAAGTCAAACCAGCAGTTAGAAATGGAGCTTCAGGGCTTCATGGTCTGTCCAAGATCTTGTTGGGCCTCCATGTCTCCCAGGGGCATCGGATTCATGGACCAGGTATGGGGCATCTCTTTGCTGATGGGGGCATGAAAGCTCTTTTCTTCCATGGAGTCTGGCTGGGGACCTCACAGGCATGCCTGTAAGACAAGGTCTACGGCAGCCTTCCTATCTGCACAACTCACCAGATCAACTACTAGTATGACTGTGAGCCACTGACAGCACCTTCCATCTCAGGCAGCCCCGGGTCCTGTCTAGTCTGTCTTTTCGGGGAAGTACTCTTAACTACTTACAGTCCTCCTTCAACAGTCTCCAATTCCTACTGTGACACCTCCCCCTCCTCATATGCACATGACCTTCACTTTATACCTTGACCTTCATTCCACCTGTCACTATCTCATACCTCCCAAGTCCACAATCTCCACCCCATCTGTAATCCATGCCCTGCATTTGACTCACTTCCTGATAGGTCAGACCCACCATGGCTGCTCCCTCCTGGATGTCAGAGATGTTCCAGACTGTGAACTTAGTACCAGTTCCCCCCAGGCTCTCCTTCAGCTGCACACTAGGACAATCAAACTGAGAGGCAAAACAGCAGGGATACAGATGAGAAGTCCCCAGGCCAGGGTTTTGTACTGCCTGAGCAGCCCCCTAAACACCCTTCTCATCACCCCAGAGGCTGTCTCTGGGCTGGGCATGAGTCAGGGGCTCACTTAGCACTCATAGCCTCAGGGCATTGGAATCAGCCAGGCCTGGGAGTCAAACCTCCTCTCCACTATGGCTTCAGTTTCCTCACATGAAACAAGGTACCCCCACACCCTGCCCAACTTGGGTGTTGTGATAGATTGGACAGGCAGAACCAAGCTCAACTGGTGTCCTGCAGTCCCAGTTGAGGATGTGAGGCCTTCAGATCCGGTGCTGCTTCTCTGATACCCACCTCTGGGTCGTCATGGCAGGCAGGAGGCAGATGTAATGCCAACCTTAGAACCATGCTCATGATGGTGCAGCTCCAGCCCTAGTCCCTGGAAGTTGAGCTGAGGACATCCTCAGCCTTGCCACTGAAGAGTTCATGACCAGTATTCTACTCATCGGCCTCAGTTTCCCCATCTTCCCAATGGGAGGCCGCACAAACGGTTTTGGAATGCTGTCTTGCCAAGCGGGGCTCTGACTTACAGGTGGACAATCCAGCCCAGGCCATGCATACCCTCCCTACCTCAGACCACAAATGGCCAAGAGTAGAACCACCTGCCTGGACCCTCCCACAACCATCCAGTGTGCCCACCTGTACTGGAAGGTCATGTTGGTGATTTTGATCTTGATCTCCTCTCCTAGCCGGCGCTCCCCAGTCATCTCGAAGAGCTTGCTGGCCATCTTCTCGTACACCTTGGCATTGCGCTTGGTCTGCTTGAGCTCATCGAAGAACTCCTCCCAGACCAGCATGAGGCCGCGCATCTCGGCATCTGTCCAGTTGCGGGCCCTCCGATGCTTCTCCGTCTGAGGAGACACAAGGTAGCCGGGCACTTCGGCTGCTGCCATGCTGGAGGCACCTGCAGGGTTAAGGATGGTACTCAGGCAGGGCCTCAGGCCTGGCCAGCGCACCATGGGCGAGAGGCAGTGCACTCGTTCACTCGCTCGCTCGAGGCAGCTCCACGCTCAAAATGGGGCCTACATCTGACAGGCAGGAATTTAGTTAAAAGCTTTTAAACGGGAAACGTCATTTTGATGTCATGTTTCCATAGCAACAGAGCAACTGCATAAGCTACAACAACAGAAACCTTTTAACTGAAAGCACAGGAATCAGGGCCGCACTGACGGGCCATCAATATTGCAGTGAGAGGCTGTGCCCAAACCCACAGTGGCTCCCAGTCCCCCGCCTCCTGCTGGCCCTCCAAGCCCCAGCTGTGCTTGACAGGTTCCTGCAAGGGGGACCCAGGCGGTAGTCCCCACCTCAGCCTCATCTGGTTCTGGTTTATATAGGCCAGAGTCCAAGAAGGCCCAAGTGGGCTCTATGCTGAGACCCACAGTATACAGGGTTACAAGGGAGACAGAGGTTCCAATGCTACCTTGATGACTGTTGATGTGGTGGGGTCCTTTCTGAGGTTACCCTTTCTCAGAGGTCTGTCAGGCTTTACTGAGGCTGTGCCTCATGAGGCCCTGCCCCCTCACCATTGACTCTTTGCTTCTCTTCCTCCACTCACCCAACACCCTGGGTGTCATGTTGTGTGGGTGCTGGGAAGCCAAGTGAGTCAGAGCTAGGTCTTACCTAGTCGTGAAGACCAGGACACAGATGCTGGCCCTCATCACGGGTGGAAGCAGGGGCACAGCACTGACGGAAGAAGCAAACTGAGCTGGCATGAGGAGGCCCATCAGGGAAAACTGGCAGCAGTCAGAAGGCAACTTCAATGGCCTAAGGCAGGGCATATTTCAGGGCCTCAAAAGACATAGCATTGCTGGGGTGGGGACAGGCGAAACGTCAAGATGAGGATTAATATGGCTACAGGGCTAGGCAGGGACCTGAGGCTGAGGAGCCAATAGGTGATCAGGAGTGTAGAATGTGGAGTCTGCAGAGGGAAAGGCCACGAGAGGGCACTGACAGCTAACATCTGGAAGGTAAGACCTGAATGAGGCTCCATGGGACCTAAGGCCCTCATGCTGGACTGGCTGTGGTGAACACAGGGTCTAGCCTGATCTCAGTATCTCTGGGTCCTATATACTCTATTGGTAGTCCTGACTGGTCCCTAAGCAACTAGGCTAAAACTCTCTGGCCAGCAGAGGAACACTGACCACCGGCCCGACCCCCGCCTGACCAAAGACAGGAAAATTCAGCCTGGAAAAAGCAGTGTCTCTGGACTTCTGTGTCTACTGTAATGAGCACAGTTAGAATTTATTGGATGTTAGGGGAGCAACCTGAGTTACAGTCCAAAATTAGAAGCGGAAAGGCAGCAGAGGGTGGCCCCTGGGTTCAGGTCAATGCCTGGCTTCTCTGAACCCTGGGAATCACCGAGGGACCCAAACACATCCTTCCTACTGCTGAGCTTTGCAGATACTCCTGGGTTTGTTTGCAGGTGCCCATAATTGTTCCATTTTTCCTAAAGGAGTGCTCAGAAAATGCTGAGGTCAGATAGATACTGAGCTTGTCAGACACAGTGGCCTGCTGGTCCACTGCTGCCCCCTAGTGCTGAGTGTGGGACATGGTTCTCAGAGCCCACAGTAGTAGAGTGCCTAGAAAGTGCCTCCTCTAGGAAGCTCCCTGTTCTTGACTCAAAAGGTTGATCCTTGACGGGAAGGTCAACTAGGGACCTGGCCTATTGCCTCCACAGAGCACCTCCAGCCAGCAGGGGAAGACAGACCAAACATGACCTGGGGCCCAAGAACTCAGTATGTTTACCAGGCTGGCCTGTCTCTGCTTCCTGAGTAGGGATTAAAAGTATGTGCCACTATGCTTAGCTTTAAGTGGCTAGCTTTTAAATCTAGCTCTCTCTGACTCTGTGTGACCTTAGCCATAGACCCCAGCCTCAGTTTCCTCATCCCGGAACTAAAATAAAAGGAGCTAGCTAGATGACTATAAATGACTCTGCAAAATTCTGATCAAAAAGCCATAACCTCTCTAGAGATATGGAGAGGCTATTGGATCCCCATCTGCCATCTTAGCCCCTTCCATAAATCTCCTAAGAGCCTCTGGAGAGTTCAAAGCCAGGCTAGTGGTTAGCTGTTGGCTAATGGATGTCACTGCCATTATTCTGGGTCCTATAGTCAAAAGGCTGCAGAGGAAACATCTATACCAGCTGCTTGCTCAAGTTCCATGAAGTAGGAGCCAGTCTGGCAAGAACTACTCCATAATAACACAACACTTTGGGTAGCATCTTTATGGGAGTAGGATAGGCTTCCACCTCTTCTTAGCCATGGGGACATCAGCAAGCCCCAAGAACAAGGTTGGCCTCTGGGGGAACCTCCTAGAGCAGAGTAATTTCCTGGCTTCCAAGGACAAGAATAAACTGGGTATTTGTTCAACCCCTTAGGTAGCTGCCCCCACCTAAGGTGGGACATGCTTCTCCACTGAGGATAAAGTTCCATACCTTGGCACAGCTGCATGGCCTGCTAGGACCCTCAGTTGTCACAGGATGAGGAGGCAGAAGGCTGAGGACTAGGCCCCCAGTAGCACCTGAAGGGAAAGGGTGCAAGTCAGCTTTAGCAAGTGTCTCTTCAAGGCCAGGCACAAGGAATAGGGTCATGACTGGTCCTGCTGTGAGCTGGTGAGACCTACTCTCTGGGTCTGTTTCCCCTCTAACTGAGCCTGGGGCTAACCTGAAACTTCTATTTATGGAAACTGTTGAGGCTCTAAGAAACCAGGCCTGACCAGGGTGATGTCAGCTAAGCTCAGCCTCTAGTAGAAAATGGGAGCTATGGCAGGATGCCAGAAACTTTTTGAGTGCAAAGGGCTGTGAACTGAGCCTGTACTGGTGGGAAGAATTTAGGGGTGAAGACTTGACAAAGGCCTGAAAACATATGAAATGTGACAGTGCTCAAGCACAGCTTTGACTAAGAGGTAATAGGGCTTGGGTCTAGGGGAGTCTTGGGGGCCTAAGGAGTTTGAACTGCTCTGGGTGGTGAGTGAGGTGTTACCAGGTCGTGGGAGGGGTTGTGACCTACCTCAGAATTGGGTTGTCCCAGTAATTTCTGGGGCCTTGCTGATAGAGACCTAGGTAGCTAGGTAGCTGGCTTACTTGGTGGACTTTGCCATTCTATGTCAATAAGGAGCCAAGATTCTTAACTTCTGATTGTCTACCTTTGTGGACAGCCCTCCCCAACCCAACCATGTCCCAAATGCCCATTCCCAGCTTGAAATGAAGCAAGTATCCCCTCCAGGACAACATGGAGGGAGATACTTTGGGAGATGAGACTCAGGCTTCAGGGCTAAGGATATGTGTGGATTCTAGGAAGGTCTTCATGATTCTCAAGTGCTTGGGTCCACCTCTGCCCATGTGCCTTCCCTGGGCTGCCCAAGTGGATCTTTCTGATTTGGCTGAGTTGTCTCACCTTATACGGAGGTGAGGCCCATACCCTAGAAAGCCTGGAACCTGTTCACTCAAAGGCACACATACTCACCCTGGCTTCCCTCATCCAACACAATTAGGCTCCTTCTTCAAGAAGGCCTTCCAGAACACTTTTTGGAAAAGTTGGAAACAAACACCATAATGAAAGGCAGGGGTGGGGTTGGGGGTGGAGACCTCAAGCCGTGTGTTCCTACATTCCCCAGGCAGGGGTCTGAACTTGCTCTGGTGGGGTGTTGTACTGCTGTGGTGGCTAGAAGGAATAACGTGCTGCAGATATCCCAAGGAGGCTTACCTCATCCTTTCTGGAAACACTACCCATGCTTGTTGGGTCAAGGGCCTGGCTATCCACCAGGATTGCATGGGTGCTTCGTTTCCCTGAAGTGATCAAAATTCAAGTGGCGCTGAAGGTCTTAAGGGCAATATCATCATATCCTGGAGATGACTGCTGAGGTAAATTTAGGGAGCTGAAGCAATTCCCATGCTACCAACAAATGCTTGAGCTACTGAGCAGGAATCTAAACCCGGTGGGGCATCTACCAGACCTTGTACAGAAAACAGACTCTGTGTCCTAGAAGAGCTAGTGGCATAACGTTCCAATAGTGATCCTGGCACTGACTTCAGTGTCTGGCGGGCTGAAGGACCAGGTAGAAAACTCCTGTCTCTCAACTGGAACTTAACAGGCCTTCAGAAAGTGTTTACCAAACAGCCTTGCTCCTGCACGTTGATGGATAAAGTGCCTGCACTTCAGACTCAGCCCAGATATGAAAGGGACCTGGTAAGCTGGACACTGTCACTGACAAAGTAAAAGGATTTGCAAGCTACAAAGGACAGGGTTAGGTACTGCAGACACAGCAACCAGCCTAGGACAAAGGTGGGAAAACCAGTTGTGTTTGAGGACAGAGAGGTTCCCCTTGGACCTTTTCCTACATGACCAGAAAGGCAGAAGGGACAGTTAAGACTATTCAAAGACTCAAAAGCCAAAATGTGTCCTATGTGAGGACACAGCCTCACCACCTCTCTAGTACACTGGTGGTATGTGTGGAAGCTGAAATAGTATCTAGGACCTTGCATAACGGGCTTAAAATGCCAACAGCCATGAGAACTTGGCATACCTTATCTCCCAGACAGGGAGATCACTTATATAGTGTTTGTGAATGCCCCTATTGTGAATGTCCCAATTCCAGGCACATAGGCTCATTCCATACCTAGTGTTGTCTGACTTTACAGTGTCAAGATGGCTGCTGGTGATATACTTGCTCCACTGGAGATGAGCAGGATACTCTCCTTAAATGCTGGAAAGGAGGTTCTCATAAGTAAAGCAAGCCTCAAACAGCAACAACGGGTGGTTAAATTGCTTCTTTAATTCAAATGTACAATATCTGCAATTTAAAAATTTTAAATATACATTTCATGTCAGTCCTTCCTCTTGGAAGTGGACAGCCAGGTCTGGGCTGGGCTCCGGGGCACACCCATCACAGCCCTGCTGGTTCCCAGTGGAGTCCATGGCACACAGCAGCAAGGCCTGGACAGGAGCCCCCTAGAATGCAGCCAGGTCTCTGCAGAGAGGTCTCTGCCATCTATCACCTTACACT